ACCCCCCAGTTTGGTAAGGTATCCTTTCTGTCCTCCAAGGTGAAAAATATACTTTTCGTAAAGTATCCCCAGAGGCTATCTGGAGCCACTGGTATAGACTATTTCTTACTTCCCTTCTAGAGTGGTTCATTCAGTCATCTTCTGTTTTTTCCTTATAGTCATTCAAAGACTTCCTGGTTTAGATACCACAGCCCATTCTGTTGAAGGATGCTTCACTGGTCCTTTAACTCGAGCGGCATGTGTCCAACCCCTTTCAGCTGTCTGTACCTCAGTCTCTGTGGTTAGAAGAACAAGAAATGGTCCCTCCCATCGAGGGGATGAGCTATCTTCTTTCCAACTTTTAATTAATACCCAGTCACCTGATTGTATTTGATGAATTGGGAATCCTAGAGGTGGGGTTTGAGCTATTATCCCAATTTCTCTTAATTCTTTTAATCTTTTCCCAATAGCAATTATATATTTCTGAATATTATAATCTTCAATTACATTATTTTCCAGGGGCATTCCCTGAAAATAAGGTATACCATATAGCATCTCATATGGGGATAGGCCAGTCTCACTATATAGTTTTGTTCTTATATTTAAAAGTGCCAAATGTAAGCGTTTGTGTCTCTACCATTAATTTGGCTAATTGTTGTTTTATTGTTTAATTCCTCCTTTCTACTTTTCTTGAACTCTGTGCCTGCCATGGAGTATGATATTCCCACTGAATAACTAATAATTGACTCATTAATTTTATTATCTTAGAAGTAAAGTGTGTGCCTTGATCAGAATCAATATATTGGATTATTCTGTATCTGGGAATCAATTTGTACCCTCTCAAAAGGCCTATATCTTTTGACAAGTTAAGCAGCCTTGTGTAATTTGCTTTGCTATTTCAAAAATTCCAATACAAACAAATTGTTTAAGAAAATAATCACTTAATGCTTTTGTGCCCCAATGTGTTTGTGTATGTAAGCGTTCTATTATTTGCCTGGTATAAGCTTTTGGTAACATTTCCCGTCCATCGGGCAGTATCCATTTTCCCTGTTCCAATTTAGCCCCTATTTTCTCTAACTTTTATTTTTCTTCAGGAGTGAACTTCTTTTCTCCTTCCTCCCGTTCCTCTTCACTAATGTTCTCCTTTGTTTGTATTGCACTGATTTTGATGACTTGAGCCTTTAAGGCTGCTTCCTGGGCCTCCTTATCTGACAAATTATTTCCCCTAGTTCGATAATCTAAGCCTTATGTCCCCTCACATGTACTACTATTTCTTCTGGTTGTCTCAATGCCTTTAAAACTTTTACTACCAGTTCTTGGTGTATAAGACCTTTTCCCTGGCTGTTAATTAAACCCCTTTCTTCCCAAATTTTTCCAAAAGTGTGGACTACCCCATATGCATATTTGGAATCCATGAACACAGTCCCGCTTTTTCCTTTTAACAATTCCAGGGCTCTGTATAAGGCATACAGCTCACAAGCCTGAGCTGTCCATGATGGACC